CTAACGGCAGTCTATATATAATGTATATATTTCCTTAACATTGTTTATGAATTTGCTCTAGAATTATGAAAATTAATTTTATTTCGGCTTTTGTCATTTAGCCATTGCATATATTGTTTTCTTTTGCATTTATTTTGTTTTCAAACCCATCCTTTCATCCTTTATTTGTTAGAACTTCTACTACCTGAATAGGTTCATCTGAATTTTCTGTCTCTGATGGAGACATATCATTTTTTAAGATTTAAAATACACAGGTCAACATTTTTCATTGTGTTCCTTAGCTCCACACCTCATCTGGTGGAGGTTTCTGTGACTGTGGAGATGTCGAAGCTTGGCGTCAGGATCCTTTCTGTCGGCGTCACTCTCCTTCAGTATCTGCCAGCATGGATCAATCATCTAACGACACTCCTGGCGATGTAACTGAGGAGATGGTGCGATTACGTTCTCGTCTTTTTAGTCTTCCGGATGACATAGCCTGTCGAGCTGGCGTTCTATTTCGCCCTTTGCTTAACAGTATTCGCCTCTGCCTCCTCGATTTAGTTCAGGTCATTTGATTATTTATTCTGTGCAATCCTAGGTAGTCCTATCTTGCAGTTAATATTATACGATGCATTTATATATGGGAATCATTCCTATTTCTGATAGGTTTTGAACGATTTAGATAAGCTAATTAGGGCATTTGTTCTGCTCCTTAGTATTTATTCAAAATATCCAATGTGATATCATAAAGATCTGCTGAGCTGATTCTTATTTTCTAAAATATTATCTGCTCTGGTCGAAACATACTCACATTGAATATAACAAATTTATGCATTGTGCATGGGCCCTGAGGGTGCTGAATTTAATGTATCAGTAATGCAAAAGTTTGCAGCTTACATTCTTCTGGATTAATGGTGCGTTTGATAAGGTAACTTGTTTATTAAGGATTGTATATTTTCTGGGGTCTTTTAAGTAAGTTACGATCCAAGCTGCTTCCATTTCACTCATGAATGTAAGTATTAATCACCATATTATCTTGACTCAAATTAAAGTTTATCCGAAAACAATTAGTAACTCAAAATCTATATAATACACTATGCTGCATGAAGGATTTCCTTTTAACATCTTGAATTATGTCAAAATACTGCATTGTTTTCATGTTTTATACGTTTTTATATCCTACATGTGCCAGAGGATAACATTAAATTTACAATAATTTGTTAGGGGTAACGATACTTAGTTAAATAAAGACATTTATTTTCATTTAGCACACAGGATTTCATAAATGATAGACGAATTAAGCTATATGCATAAACACAAGACTTAACTTTGAAATTGAGTTTAGCCCAAATTTCAACAATAAACTACACGGCATCAAAAACAAGAAAAACGATTCCGCTGAACGTAGTCATTCCCTGTATAAGAAATCGATTGATGTGCACTTATTAATTTCTATATTTGTACTTGTGGGGTCAGACTAGGTCTAATCGAATCATCCACAATACCAAGTCTCCGTCTAGCATACGCAAATAACCAAGATAAAGGATTAGTGAATTTTACTTATAAATAATTTTTCATTAACCCCGAAGCCTTGCGAGCGGCATCTGAAATTGGTAGTGAAGATCATTATGTTTTACTAAATCCTGTTGAAGAGACACTCTTAGGCGACGCTGGAGGAAATGAGAGCACAGAAGAGTGTGAATAAGTTAAGGGGCCATATGAAGTGGGGTTGAGAGAGACATGCAGCATCTGAAAGACAAAAAAACAGAGACAATGAGTGATGCTACAACGGTTGAACTGAAAATTGGTCAAGGGGATTGCTTTTCACTTGTCACTTTGATAAGTTGTAACTTTGCTAAAGATAACGCCTTTCATTTTTGATGCCAGCAAAATGTTGCTAATGTATCCTGTCAATGGTCCGATGCTAGAAATCATGAATATTATGGAAGAGACTAGGTACGCTCCACGAGGTC